CCTGACTGGCCCTTGTCTTCTGTTGTTACAGTTCAACTTATTTATAGACTTTTATTAGGCATAAACAGAGGACATACGTGTGAATCATGATCTTATGAATGTATTTGTCGAAAAAATATTTCTATAATGTCACCAAGAAATTTATGCATTATTAATACCTATTGTTTATCGTGATGATAAGTGATACCAACTTAGCAGATGTAATTTGCGTAAAACGTCATAATGACATGTAATTGAAATGGGTGCAATGAGGTAATTTTATTGCTTTTCAGTAATTGCTTTTTCTGGCAAACTGTAAACAGGCGATATGCACACTAGAAGCCTATGCAATAACCTACAGTACTTTATGATAACAAAATAGTCGATGAAGTTGAGCGACGTGGTCAACTAATACATAATAATAATAATTTATATTTCGTATAAACGGGTAAGTTTACAAGAAATGCATGCCATTTTTACAGGCACGATCAGTAATGTTATAAATGATAATCCTGAAGTATCATAAATTAATACTTTTTCAAAAGTTTCAATTGTTCAATTATTGTACAAGCAATCAGAACAAGTTCTTATAAATGTTAAATTGTAAACCGTTTACTAAGGTCACCATCAAAGCTGAGCGACGACCCAAACTTCATTCTGTTCCCTGCTGATCGTTATGGTCAACCAGTAGTGAACAGCGTATATCTGTCCGGGTGAGTGCTATGCCGCCACGTGATTCAACGCTATTTCAGGAAGAGGGGAAAATTCTGCGCAGCTGCAAAATTGCACAAAATGCGATTATGGATAATACATTATTGGAAGTATATTTACAAGATAAATACAAGGAGAAGAAGCTATATAGTACTTGAAATGATAGTTTACATTTGCAATGTTTAATGCTAACCATATTAGTCTAAGCATGGAAACTGTCACGTTTCCGATGAACATATAGCTTTGTTCAGGCATTGGTGTTGTTGTGTTCTTAATCAAAGCAACCAGACTTAAAGCAAGCAACAAATATGAACAAAGAGCAAGTTTCAGCTTCAATAAAGGCCTAGGTAGTTAGGATCAGATAGAGTATAATAGTGCGTAAATAAAAAGATTATTGTGAGGTAGGTAAGTGATATTTAAGTGAGGAGTGAATTCAAAGATCTGGAAGATTAGAAGCCGTAGAACAAGCTGACCTGTAAGATGCCTCACGAATTTCTGTAGGGTACATTGAGCCTTTGAACTTTTGTTTGAACGCACTCACCCACTTTTTGGCTCTTCTTCCTCTTTCGATTTGTGACTCCCCTGTACCTTTTGGGTTCGCTCTCTCGTTGTGCTTTCATTCGGCGCACTCTCCGAGCCTACCACGGTCAAGGGAGCAGATCAGTGTATAACCTCTTATTTTTTTATCAAATTTCATATCTCATTTGTGTAAAATATAACTCTGTTCTTGACAAACTTACCATCTCGAGTCTTTTTACCTTGATTCAATTCGTTAGTACTTGCACGTTAGGCAGAGTACAGCTAAGATCAGAAAGCGGTGAATAAGTTTTGTAAGGGTGGTTGTTTTAGGTCTACATTAAGCCAAGCCTAACCCTTATAAGTCCAAGTGGCAATATCTTCACGTAAGAGCCTGTTGATACTAAATGCTAACGCAAGAAGAGTGATGTATTCGTCTTTTCATTACCTAAAGATTTCCTCTAATACAGTACTGTACAGTATACTCAAAATAAGAATAATAGACTACTTGTGATAAATAGAATACACGTTCCAAATTGTGCTTGAAGTGGCTAGACAACCACCAATGCTAGTCATGTACGTATACGGTCTACGTTTGCTAGGTTATATTTCGTTATTACAATACGGACACAAGTTCGACGGCCATTTTCTTCTGAACACTAATGCATGGATTGAATGTAACTGGAAGATTTCATGCACGGCTTGATGACTCACTGAGGAAATAATAACGGTTTACGACTTTGAAGCATTTCACACAAGTATTACTACGTTGCCTATCATTCTCATCTAGTATGCGATTTCCTCAAAATGATAAATAAAAGTAATATATGTAGTCGACATAAATTCATATATTTACAATAGAATAACAGTCGACCAAATTAAAAATATTTTAGTATGAAACCGTACATATTCACATTTAAAATAAGAGTTTATCACAATTAGGTGAAAAAATCACAGCTGTAGATTTATTTTATGGCTAAATCATAGTCAAAATAAAGTCCACTAATCGTTCTGTCCACAAGACGTGGATCAGTTTCCTTCAATTGATAGAGCCACTGGACTCGACTTTGCAGTTTTCATCACCACTTGATCCTTCAGAAGAAATCTGATATGATCTTTCCATGCAGCGATCGAGATTGTATTCCATCCTTCCTAACACCTTAGGTTTCACTGAGAAATATCTGGAGATGTATACATATAAGGGAGGTTGTGGTGAGAGCTGGCTGCTAGCCAAGGTTGGTTGGTAGACAGTAATTGACGTCAATGTTGTTGATGTCCCCAATATTGGTGGTGAAAAGATGAGAGAGAACAAAGGCTTTGCGTAGGCGGATACAGTTAGCATATGGATGATCTGACACAGCCAGCCACAAAGAGATGCAAGGTTAACTTTCTGTGAGAAACAATCACCAATCAAAAGACTGTATTTTCTACAAACAATAATCTACAAAAATGTACATGAAAATCTATAAATATGTGTTGATTTTCCTTAATAAACGATCTGTTACCTGACTGACCCTTATCTTCTGTTGTTACAAGGTGAGTAGTGAATCTTACCTCAGGTGAACAGTTCATTAATTATCTTAGCCACAATATGCATGTGAAGAAGGGAGCGAGGGAACAATAGTAGATTTGGTGAGATTCTACAGATAAGTCGTCCGCATGTTCCATGATAGATTTGAGGAAGCGTAGATCTTCGGAATAATCTTTCACAGTTTCTCTTCTGCAAAATGCAAATATTACACAACTGCCTCCCCATTCCGTCCGTTACAACCAAATGAAAAAGTCTATATCTTCAAACTTTGTACCTTTTTGATTAAGTTACCCAATAATAATATTCTTTTTGTAAGCGGATAGATCCAATGCATATCACATCCGTGAAATTTATTGCAAATGTTAACCTGTCCGCCGCTTAAGCTGAATGTAGAATGTAAACTCTATCTGATTTTTGTTATTATAATTTCAAATCCCGCCTCAGTAACGTGTATTACGTGTGTATTAGCCGGAACGTTTCGCGGAAAGGAAAAGCTGCCAACCAGCCACAATATGTGACCTTGAAGTGGTCAGCCTCTCCACGGGCCGTGTGTGCTGCTATCTATTGCCAGGCGAAGACAATGAGCCTATAGCTAAACGTCTTCGAGATTTGCCTTCGCACATAAATTACAAAGATAGTCTTCGAGCATCTAATGCAAGCAAATCGCTTAAGATTTCAGATTCCGGTTGGTAAATGTTCGAGTAGCCCAGCCCTCAGTGGTCAACTAAAGTTTCAGCTAGAATAAGAAAGCGTATTCCACTGAAGGAGTTGAACGTATCTACTGAGCGTAATGTGAGTCTTTCAGTGTTTTTTAGTGGTTGTGTCAACAACTGCTTGTCAATATCATGTAATTGTATATAGCGACTGCGACGTTTTACTGTTTATTGCGTTTGTTTTGTTTAATGAGGAAAGACAAATCCGGTGGTGTAACTTTAATCTTGCCTTGAGGATGGATTATTTCGTAATATTTACATCGTTTACCTGTCAAGTTTACTAAGGTTGAAAGGACTTTTCTATTTGCATACTGTTCCACTGTTTCTGGATCCTGGACACTTACTTGCACCTGTGATCATGCAATACTGTCTTTTTTTATATTTAATGACATTCATGACTACTGTAGGGTTTTTTACAAACTGTATATAGTAAGTACATTTTAAGGTCTTGTTGAACTAACTGTTGTATAATTGCATATACGGATGATTTTTACTCTTCCTGGTTGGTTCAACAGTTGCAAAAACGGTTAGTCCCGTTAACGTTATTGGAAGACGACAGAGTTTATCTAAAAGATGTGATGTATTTGTGAAATATATTTTGGACAAAATGATCACGCTTAGTTGTTAAATCAGTTGCTATGACAGAAGCGGAATGTCAAATTAATTAATAGATAAAATGATGAATATGGGAGGATATTGATTAACACGGCCCTTGGTAGGTAGTATAATCGGGTGAAAAATTGTTATACGCCATACAAAAAAACATTAATTAGGAAAGATGAGTACACCCTGTCCATTTTGTTTATTATTTAGTTTGATGCTGAATTTCGACGCTTCAGTTTTCTGGTAGGAGATTCACTACAATATACTGCTTTTTATTCCCTACTTGAGAGGATATATATGCTTTTCAACATCTCGAAGAAATCAGGCTCATTACTTATCAGCAACAACAAAAATTTCGAAGTGGCTGTAAATTCGCCGAAGTCTCTACTAAGAGTTTTACTGCAAAGAAAGGGTATGTCGGGAGTGTGTGGAGTGCCTAACAATGTGATTGTACACTTTTTGGTTATTTGTAGAAATTAGACATATTGTACATAATTTTTGTTTAAAACGCTTCTTGTTGAAATACACTTGGCTTCCGTGTACGATTGAAAAATACACTCTGCTGTTGGAGACTTCGTTTTCTCCTTGCTTTCTTCGGCTTACTAGCGCAGCTCTCACCGTATTGTATCTTTCGGATTTATTTTAGAAGTCCACTACGCTCAACCGAAGACAATTCTACAACCGGGACACAGCAGCTACAACCTACTCCGCCCCAAACAACTAACGTCTCCGTGGGTTATATAAATAATTTGTAGCAGAGGACTTAAACTTTATTTCCAAGTAACCCTTTTGTTGATATAACGTGTCGTTGCATTTTTGGTAATATACTGCTACTTAACATTCTATTGACTTGAATTTTATTTCTCATATTTTGTAATACTAGTGAACTCTAACATAAGTCCCCTACAAGTGTTTATATATTTTATTATCTGGGATAGGTGAGAGTTATGGAGAGCTATACAGTTACAAAAACTACTAATCACAGTCTTATCCATCGGGGTGCAGCTAATACTCTTCGCAATTTCGGTAGTAGTGGCAAACATCGTCGATCTGAAAAGCCTGTTATTAGTGTGCTCAGTGATTTTCACTTGGTGTCTTCAATCCTCGATGTTGATATCATACCGTGGACTTTAAGAAGGTGAGCGTTAACCTAATTAATCATCTTTTATGCTGATAGTTTCTATATTTATGTTCCTTTTTTTAAAAGTAGTTTTGTCACCAGTGATTACTTAGCGCAAGTATATGTTGTCAAAATTTTCATTAAAGAATGGTGTATACATGCTCTGTTAACATTAGAATTGAAATATTTGTTTAGTAGGATTTTAACAGTTTTGTTGGTGTCACTTTACTGCTGTTTTTGTTTTGCATTTAAGCTATTATTTCTATTACTATTCTTCCCTTGGGGGGTTCCGAGTGAAACACTCGGCTTTAGCAGCTCATATCCACTCCACTCTGTTCTGTGAATTTTTTTAAGCTTGCTCCATGGCTTCCACAATCTGCTATTATGAGGTGTTACTTCATTAACTGATTGACTGGTTGAGTTCATGGTTGAGTTGCTACTAACTCTGTCTTCTATGCATTCAAAACGGTAGAATTCTGATAAACTGTAAATTCAGAAATGCCTTAAAGGGTTTTGCAAATAACATGTGTATTTACTAAGAGGTTTATTGGTTGAGGATAGAAGGCTTGGAGCCTATGTTAATCCTTTTCTAGTAGATTTCTGTGGTTGTCCAAACCCTTCTTGAACGAATCAGTTGAGGTTGGAGACACCACTTCTTCTGGGAGACAGTCGGTTCCAAGAGTTTATGACTCGGTGTGAGAACCAGTACTCAACAGCAATATGATTTCTTCTTGGCTTTTGAACTCTCCTGCTATGTCCTCTAAGGTGTTCCGACCAGGTGTGAAGGAAAAGAGAGAATAGGTCAGGTCCGTAGTCATTATTTAAAATTTTAAACATTGTGATTAAATCTCCTCTCTGCCTACGGTATGACAAGAAGAAGAGATTTAAACTGTCTAGTCTTTCCTCGCATGATAAATTAGTCATTCCGAGAACCATACGTGTTGCCTTCCTTTGAACCCTTTCTAGAATGTGTGAGTCCCCTTTTAGACAAGGACTGGCGTCCTGGATGCAGCTTTCCAGCCTTGACCTCACCAGAGGTAACTCAATTGACGTATTGTGTTTCCAATGTTAGTATGTTGTGATTTACATAAAACATGTCAAAAATGTGTCCGAATGAGTTCATTGATAAAAATCCATAAGCCGAAAAAACGAAGGCCTTTTTATTTTATATCGTAATGATATTTCGTGTTACGTTCACTTTTCCATGTTGACTTTTAATGATGCAATGCTATTTACATTTATATTAACTTTTTGGTTGTGCATGATATATGCTGTGACAATTTTGATTATATATGTTAGTTAATTATCTGCCAGTCATATAAATGCGTCGTTAAATGGGCGAGGGGGGGCGGGGAAGGAACAAATCATCTGATGTCTAAAGCTTAAACTTACAAGTGCTATTTCCAGTATCACACTTGTCGCACAACTTATATTTGTGAATTGGAATAGTGTACTTTTAAAAATTCACTACATGAGTCAGTCAGTCTGTCTGTGTTGACCAGTTGTCGTACATTCTAATTCCATATTAGTTTGTTTATTATATGTATCACACAGTCAGTGAAACAGTATTAGTATTAACTGGATGACAAAGTTTCTAACACAATTCATTATTGTTCATAATCGTTTCCTCAATTATAATCACACGACTTCAAAACTTGAGTTTTATAGTCTTCTATGTTCCCTCCTATTTGTCTTCGTCATTGGAGTAGTAGAATTTTCCAGATATCCAGCTGGAGAGGTGTTGAATCATTCCTATTGTAGGCACGCATTTGCAGTTGATTCGATAAACAAAGCTTCCGTTGTTATCAATCTTCCCCACTCGTCACCCTGTTAGTTGTATTAGATTTTCAGACTGTCATCTTATCCCATCCAGCCTATTGTATGTTTGGGTGTGTGTGTAATTGGATGTAGTCCTTGCGATAGCTGCTGAACTATTCTCTAGATTTCTTATCTTGTTCGGGTCAACTAATCTAGATTTCGCTACTAGGTGTTTATGGTGCTCGGCTAGTCTGACTCACTGACTGACCCTGTTCTACTAGTTTGACCTATATATTTGACCTGACAATCATCGCACGCAGGGTATTCGATAAACTAAATTGTTTTGTGTTAAAGGCTCGACAGGATTGATCCTTTAACCGACAAAGCTTGTTTCTAATTGAGTTTGTGGTTGGTTTGAATGCCAGTCACTTTTATTCCTGTCTGCCTTGTTAAGAATTCTCCGCTGTCAGGTGGTTTCCGGGGTTCCTTCCTTGTATGAAATAAGTACTGATGATGATCTTAGTAGTAAATAATTTCAACGTTTGTCCGGAAATTCAGTTCAGCTCTCTTAGAGACAACAAATAAACAGGATTGAAAACATCAAAGGTATTTATATAAATTGACAGTCACATTCAGCATTTAGAATCCTTGCTCAATCGTGTCTGAGTTTTGAAGTCATCAAAGTAAAACGAAAATAATAAATAATTTTTTCTGTATACATTGCAAACGAGGTGTGTGTGTTTGTGTGCTAATTTCATATTAATATTCGATCGTTGTTTTTTTCGAACAAAGGCCACTGGTGAAATGAGATGCTTTAGATGGTAAAGATATATAAAACTGGGCATGATTATTACGGAGATGGAAATATGCGATTTGTTAATCTTTATGTTTGCCGTGAATCTGGTAATAGTCATATTGTCCTGTCAATTCAGTATTGTAGGGTTAGTTTATGTATAAGGCCTCTCTCTCTCTGTATATGTAGCAGAATTTTTCTGCAGAACTGTGGTTGCTGGCTGGCTGGCTGGAGAGGTTTCGCGTGCGTTTCGGATTGTGAGGGCGATTGTTACTTCCCGGCTGCCCACACCGTGGAAGTTGGTTGCGTGACCGCAGAGCCCCGGGGACAACTGCTTGAGGCCGGTCACACACGGCCTGTTTTTGTTTGTTCCTTTTTATTTGGTGTGCCTCAGTAGCATATTTGTCACTTTTGCCCTGTGGCACGGCAGCAGGAAGCGCAGTCGTTGTTAATCCGGGCCCCAACCGATCCGGCATGATATTTTGTGATTTATTTGAAGTCATGGCATTGGATTGGGTAGGTGCTTTTTGTCTAACCGCTATCCAAACAACCTTTCTGGCATGGTAGGACCTACAGGAAGTTAAGTTCCAGCCAGTGTAGCTCGTTGGGTCATTGCGATATGCAAGCCCGACCACCACGTCAAGGTAGCAGCTTTCGGTCGGGAGAACTGTGGTTCTGTCAAAGTCGTTCTTGTGCCCCCTTTTTTTAATCAAGCTTGATGCCATGACCGATTTGTTTTCTAATTCGGGATTTTTTGAAGTTTTTCGAACTCTCTTAGGGCATCTGTTTATGCTTTACTATTAGATTAATTTGCTTTCAAGTTCCTCCTCTCTTACGTATGCATAATCGAAGATTAGCTGTCTTCGAGCATAGGTCCCTGCGATCTATCTCCCGTGTGAAGTGCTATAGTAAGGTGAGCAATATTGATGTTAGGCGTCGGTGGAGTGCTAGGTTTGTAGGAGGGGAAATCAATTGGCGAGACTGTGAAATTACATCGACTGAGATGGTTAGTATATGTGTTTCGCATGCGTGCCTAACCATCGCCTTCCTCGACAATAGGCAATGTTCACTTACATAGGGTCAGGCTGAAAAAGAGAAAGTTAGCGGCGGTCAAACCAAAACATGGCTTCATCGGTCAATGAAATCCACAACAGTTAGTTTAAGCCAGCCAGCCACGTAGGAAGGTGTAGACTGGCTTCCTGACTGGTTGGTGTCCTCAGGATGACGGTAGAAACCAATGAAGGCTGGAGACAATTGGTGATATAGCTCAAAAGCCTCGTTCTCAATGGCTGGCTGACTGGCGCAGATGCATCCACTCCTTGTGACTTATGATTTCCAATGAAACTATATTGTTCTTCGTTATTACTATTCCTTCGTCTCACCACACCTCTGTTTACTGTCTCTCTCTATTATGCATTTCATTTTTGCTTTCTTCTGTTGCTTTGTGTGGTACATGGAGGGAGTGTGGCGACTTGAACTGGTGAATGAATGAAAAAGTGACTGCCATTCATTCTATGCTTTGTTCGATGATGATTCTTAGAGTTATAATTCGATCAGTACATGATTTGGCTTTCCTGGATCCAAGTTGTTGTTCCGATGGGTCTGGGGTAATTCTGCATCCACTGCATGTTTTATTCTCTTCACGATGATGTGACTTTGTGTTTTGCTTGGCGTGTTCAAGGGCATTATTCGATGCTACCTAGTTCTTACAGAATGAGGTGTAAGTTGCCCTTCTTTGATATTTTGACGAGGTAGTCCTTCCAATCTGTAGGCGCATTTCCCTCCTTCCAAACGGTTTTCATTTGTAGAGTCAACATAGCTACTCTGCTTGTGTAACACTCGTTTCAATCGGTGTAATTGCACAACCTCATTGATTGGCTTACCCTTCTTACGTAACACTCTACCACCTATTAATTGGCGTTTTATTATACCATTCAAGTGGAAAATGAAGCACAAACACCTGCAGTTTTCCTTTCTTTCACTCTCAGCAGGCATGTTTCATGACTATATAGTGAGAAAGTATGCAGTGATCGACAACCAGATATCTAGTTTATTGCAGAAATGATGTAAGTTTGTAGATACTGCATGTATCTTTTGTGTCTGTGTTGAGGTTTCTTCAGCTCATTGAGGCTTATGTAACTTCACAAATAAGTGAAGTGGTTCGTTCATATGCTGCACCACTTCACTCACTCCCTATCCTTATGCTTGGAGTCAGTGAAATGGAGTCGTACAGTCCTATTTTATTATATGTCACAGGAATAAATCGCATGCCAAACATTCGAAGAGCTCTGTCCATGGTGTTCAGGAGACTCTACATTTTTCCAGCATATTTACCTAGGAGGGAGGATTATATCATCCGGATATTCTAACTCAACAAGACCATTCCCTGATAACAAGTCAATCCCCAGGTCACTAAAGTCAGGGTCATTTCCTTATGAATTTGTTTATAAGATGTGCCATACAGTCA